TTTACAAAGCTAGAATTAAGAATAGCTGCAGCATCTACTGCTGAGTGCGTATACAGCAGGTTATCTGACGTATTCTCTGGATCTCCAAACACATTTTAGATGTATTCTGAGAGCCTGCTGAAATACGCTGAGTGACTTCTGTTTAGTGAGTGATAGTTATCCTTAGGTATTCATATTCTAAATGGAGCTGTACTCAGTTTAAATTTCTTGGCATTCGTACTGTTAGATTTATTTTGCATGATCTGATCTATTGCTAATTAGCCTTTCCTTCAGGGCCAGTTGATTTAATTTAGGCACATAAGAACCGGCAGCAGAAGGGAAGTTGTGAGTATCAGTGCGTTTGGTCACTGCTGACCTGAGAGGCTGAATTAAGCGTAGCATCGGGTTTGTCTTTCAGCCGTGGTGAGCCAGTTGGCTGTTTTACAGGATGGGCAGTTGAGGATATGGGTATCTGTGTCATCCGCTCAAACAGTGGATGGTTACGTTTTGTCTTCCTGTCTTGCTAACCGCCATTGGCTTTAATCAGGATTTGTGCATCTGTCTGTGTAGCTGGGCTGCTCGCACACTTCCCTGGTGGCTCATGGCGGCGCTCCTCGCGCTGCGCAGTGTGTGAGGCACAGTGAGTGTGGGCTGAGGGCTGGGAGCAGTGCTGGCGCACCTCCTCTGCTGTGGGAGCTGCGTCTGGGCCGCTGCTCTGTTCATAGGGGCTCTGAAAGGCCTTTGCTACATGACTTGCTCACACGGTGGTACTTAGCAGCTCAGGTGCAGTCAGTTTGGCCCCCCAGTTCCCTGCAACTGCTCAACAGCTGAACGAGCTGTCATTGCAGGCAGCAGCAACACACAGAGGATATGCTCTGGCTTGGCAGTGTGGAAGCAGTTCTTGTACAGCCATGCAACAGGAGTCTGCTCGTAGAAGGTTAGGAATTCATTTGAGACTTTTTGGCAGCACTAAGCCGTGTAAGGATGCGCAGTTTCTGTTTTCTCATTCACCTGTATGCTTTCTGTGCAGCTCTGCAGTCCTTTTTTGGCAGAGTGGCTGCTGCTGTTAACACCATCACATCAACATAGCTGTAAATATCAGCAAGTCATAAGTAAGGCATTGTGACTATTGTGTGTATGTTTTTACATGCATAAAATTGGATGCTGAGATTTCATTTAAGTTTCGTGTGTTTCATATCCTCTTCCCTGTCTGTAAGAAGCTGGGCAAGTTATGCATCTTATGAGTCCGTAGCAGCAAAACCAGTCTAGGCAAGCCAAGCAAAAAGCCAAGGAATGACATGGAGTTGTTTGGGAAGACTTATAAAGGAAATTTTATGCCGTAGTGTGCAGGGAGCTCAAATTTGTCTCGAGATTTCTCTGGTGAACTAACGCACTGTTAACACCATGGCATTAAGGACTGAATCGTTTCTCTGGTACACAGGTTCCTCATCTTTCCTTTTTTCCTGCCATCGCCCTGCTCCATCCCTGCTGTGCATTTTGGTTTTGTTTTTCCCCTCCCTGGTTAGAGGTGGACCTTTTGTAATGCCTCTCTCTGTCCTCTTTCCCTGGAGTGCCTCTGTCTCCCAGCATTGCTTTTGGACCTATTCCCTGCCAAACCTGTTTCCACTTACATGCTTGTTTTATCTGTTGGTAACTGTACTGCCCCTGATTGAACAGCTCAAGCTGTGAAATATTATGGATTTCTGTCAGACTGAGGATGTCTTTGTTTTCTAATATCATAGTTAGGAACAGTGGGCTACTGCAAATGAATAGACCTGGCTCACTGGTACAGCAGTACCTATTGGAGATAGCTTTGTCCTGCTGGGGACTCCAGGAAGGCACTAAAAGGCACTGCTCTGCTCTTAGAGTAAATCCAGAAGGTGGAAAAATGAGAATGAACCACGCTAATGTGTGTTTGTGAGGAACCTTGTGGCTCAGAGTGAGTCTGGGAGGCAGGAACAGCATTTATGTCTGGGTGTTCGTCACTGGTTGTGGGCTCACCACTAAATTGGTACTGACTGCATCTGGCCAGCTGTCCCGTAGGGCTGGGTGGGGTGGTTGTTTATTTTTTAATTGCCTGTGAGGAGTTGAAAGAAAAGTGAAACAACTTGGTTTATTTCAGAGAGACGGCTGTGTGTATAGCTGGGGTGAGAACTGCTAACGCTTTCCAAGGGCTTTTACTCTGTGAAATGCTTACGGGAGGACTGCTGGAAGAACCAGCTTCTGTCAGCCAAACTGTTAGTAGTGGAGGTGGGCTGTAAGGGCAGATCCTTTTATTTAAAGCACAGAAGGCAAGGTATGTGGATGCTGCAATTCTGCCAGAACAGATGAAAACTGTGTATCCTGCACCATCCTGAGTAACAAAAGAGACCAATTTGAGGAGGCTTGTTGGCATCAAAGCAAGGCAGTCCCTGCTGCCATACCTAGGGAATTATGCACAGTTCTGGCCAGCATATGAGCAGGCTGGCTGGGATGCTAACACACTGTATCCTACTTGCAGCCTCAGCTTTGCTGGGTTGCTCTGGTAAATTAAAGATTCCCTTTCCTGGCATAAAACGCAACAAGGAGTGGGAGTGAAGTGTGGCTGGCTTGTTCTCAGCTTGGAACAGCAGTGCTGCAGTTTGTCTGGCCAAGGGAATTGCAGCCTACAGAGCGAGTCTGGCTTTCTGATGTCAGTTATTAGCAAGTCCTTAATTTCATCTAGTGTCATCTGTTGTTGTTATCTGTGTGTTTATTGGAGAAATGGCATCTGAACACCTGTTGGAAAGAAGTGACTTACATCACTAGCTCTAGGGCTGTGTTTTGTCCTGATCTTTGTCATATTTGAATTCCATTGTAAAGTGCCAAATGTACACGGAACAGAAACAAACAAAAAACAAAAAACAAACAAACAAAAAAAAAAAAAACCAAAAAAAACCCCAAAAAACTCTGGTACATGTAATTGGGTGGTTGGCCATTTCTCGGCCGAGTTTTCACAGTGCTCTGGTTTGGAGATTGACCTTATTTGCAGCACTGCTGGCGTGGCTGAGATGGCGGTTCCCTGCGTCACTGGTGAGAGGAGAGGGAAATCCATAAGGAAAACCAGTGTTGACCGGGACCCTCTGCTGAGCTGCTTTGCTGGCTGATAGCAGTGTCCTTATTCCATATAAGAGTGGTTTTCTGGGGGAGGAGGGAGTGGAGGAATCCTTAACAAGCTGTGAATAATTTGCTCTAAGACTGGAAAGTCTGCAGAAGTGTGTCTCAGTCGGGTGTGTTTGTGTGCGTACACCTGAGCACCTCTCATTGTCAAGTTTCTGATTAAATAAGAGCATGTTTTTAAATGGGTTGGACCAATTAATCTTTAAGTAGTGAAGATAATTCTGGCATGAAAATACGTCTTATTTATGCTACTTGCTTTCTACAATTTGAAACAAAAAGTACCCTGTAAGCCCTCAGCTTCCTGACACTGGGACTAATTGAACCTTTACCTGCGAGATTGAAGGGTTCTCTTTGAGCTTTCTCTTACTCCTTGTTGTGGTTTAACCTGGCAGGTGCCAGTTGAAGCTAAGATACTCCTTTAGGCACTTGAACTGTTCTCAGATCAACCCTTGACCTTCTCTGTGTGGTGAATTGCTTGGACTGTAGGGCTGAACGAGAGCCTTTTCTGATCTTAGAGCTCTTCTGATCTCTTCTTGTTCCTCTTCTGACAGCTGTTTTCTGGATCCCTGCACTGTCTGCATCCATGCCAGGCTGTAGATGCAGAGCTGAACAGCCCTTTCCAGCACTGGCTGTGCAAATAAATGCCAAATGGAAATGATGAAATGTTCTTAATCAGGATTCTCTTCCCCCCCTCCCCTGCACCCTCCTTTTTTTTTCCCCTTTCTCTACCTACTGTCTATTGCTAGTGTAGCACTGACTTGGCAAGTCTCTGTGCTGCCTTTTCAGTCTGTGTGAAGACTGTCCATGTACAATAGGGCTGTAAGCTCAGTCCTAAGAAATACAGAGAATGTGTGAAGGAAACGGGCTACTGAAAAAAGCCATCAGTGAGCTCTCCTGGGCAGTTGAAATAACACAATAATGCACTGCACTTGGGAAAGCTTGCCTTTCTGCTGGAATCTCTTCCATTTAGAAGATTTACAGCAGATGGTTTGGCCTCTGGCTTTGTTGGCTTGTTTGTGTCTCTTGGTGTTCAAATGGACTTGTAGACATAACGAGACCTCCTGCAGAGTTTCTTTCCTGCTGTCACAGTTTTGGTCTCTGGGGATACATAATAGTGAGAGCCGGACCTGTGCCAGAAGCAGCGTGCAGGATTCCTGCTACCTTGTGCTCAGACCTCGGCTTCTGCATGGGGCTGGGGGGAGGAGGTGAGATAAAGGGAAGAAATGAACTCTTGGAGTGCTGTTCAAACTGAAGCAGTCTTGATGCCGAGCAAACAAAGCTTTGGTGCTTTGTAGTGGGAGATGTCAGCAAGCACATTCCTCTGAGACAGGTGATGAGATTTATTGTCAGCCGCTTCGTATTCCCTAGAATGAGGAATAATTTATTTAAGAAGCGACTTCCCTGGAATTCAAGCTTTGAAAGTCATTACTGCCCCATTTGTTATTTCTGTCTCCCTTAAGTTTATGAAAACAGTTTTGTTTTTTTGTGTTGTACCCACGCGTTTTGCCACAAATGCAGCATTCTTGTCCTGTAGTTCAATTCTACAGGCAAACTTCTGGGTAGATGAGATTAGTTAAATTTAATGCTGATCAGATACAGCAGCTAGGACACTAAAATAACATTCCAGTCCTGGTCATAATTTGAAGAATACAGAGACAGCTCGCATCTGATTTAGGTCAAAATGCAGTTCTTGAAGGTAATGCTGTGGCAGCGCAAGGAGGAGTGCGTGTGTTAGGCTGGAAGTGGCAAGCTGGGTCTGGCAGCTCTTGGTTTAACAGTAGTGGTGTGTTTAGGTGGCTGGGGAAAAGTCTGGGACACATGGAGTGCGTAGAGAAACTGACTGCTGTACTCTGCTGAACTGACAGTTCTTTTTTCTGTTTTAGATGAAGGACCTAGCTTGTACTTCTGACTCCTATGTGCATGTAAGTTTGTGGACTTGATATCTAGTAATGCATCAATTTTATTTATGACCAAAACTGTGTGGGGTCAAGGAGAAACGAGAGCTGAATGCCTGTCTTGCAGAAAGGAATGTACAAATGAGTCATCCCACACCACTGTTAATGCCAGCATTGTAGAGGCAGCAGGTGGAGATGGAGGAAAAAGCTTACTGGAAAATTGTAATCCATGATGTAACCTCATCCCACTAAAAATCTCCCTAATTTAGCCTTGGTTAGTTCATCTGAAAGGCTCCGGAGAGGAAGCAGGTCTGAACTGTTCCAAGTTTGGTCAAAGATTAAACACATGGATTTGCATTTTTTTATCTTTGGGAGAAGGATCAACCTAAAAAAATACAGATCTGAATTACAGCAAATTGCATTGAGCTCTCTCTTGGTGAGAAACAGTCATTCTCCCCTCATTTAGTCTGGTTTCCTGCTGGGAAGGCTTTCCAGATGAAGAGTGTTGACAGCTAGGAGAAATAAGGGTACCTCCAATACTGTGTGTTCCAGGCGTGTTTTTATTGTATTTTTTCTTTTTCTTTGACCATGCTCCAAACAACCAGAGGTACTCATCCAGTTCTGGGTGTTACTACCTGTGTTCTGAGGCCTGGGTTCATCCCTCAGCTTTAGTGCTTTTCAGAAGACCCCAAGTTTGTTGTAATTCAACAGGTAATCAGTGTCAAGAGCTGGGTGTGTGCAAGGAGATGACTCAGTCTGTAAGATTGGAATTATTCTCTGAAACTCCAATTCTTTTGGACTAGAGAGGAAGAATTCCGTTACTGTGCATTTGAATACCCTGTTAAGCTGCCTGAAGGTAGCTGCTGCCAGTTTGAACCTATTGTGCATCCCCTTCCCTACCTGCAAGATCCCTCATGGGAATGTTTAGGTCAGCAGGCTGCTCTGTCAGGATGAGGTAGGACTGTCCTTCTTCAAGGCGTGATTGCTTCGGTTCTGAAAATCAGTTGGTGTGCTCGATTTGCTGAGCATTACTTCTATGGCAGTGAGATTGTTAACATTTAATTTTTAAGTGTATATTATCACATCTGTTGAGGCTGACATCTTTGGTTAACAACCAGTCAATCTGAAAAGCAGGGCAAAGCAATACAGAGCCCTGAGAGATGTCTTGCTTGTCAAAGTGACAAATTGCCCTTTCTGAGTCAAAGGACCAGCTTGCATTTTGGGGCTGTGTAGCTACAGGGGAAAGTGGAGGGGAGCATGGGAAAAATACCCTATTAGTTTAGCTCTTCCCCAGTGTTTTTTTGTTGTATGTTGCTGAGTTGAAGTTCTTTGTTTTCCTCAATCTAAAACAACTTCTCAGCAGGTTGAGAGGAGCAAGGCCCCTGGGACTCTGCCTCTCCCACTTCTCATTCTCATAAACTGTTTACAATCTCCCTCCGTTTTCTAGCTTTGTATGGAAAAGTTCAGTGGGTCAGCTTTCCCTTTAGCTTCATCCATCATTCCAGTCAATTAGAAATAGTTGAGGGCCAATTGCCCGGTCTTCCATTAACTGAGACACTTCAGATTGTTTAAAATAGCATAAAAGCTCTTTGTTGACCGTTGGGCTAGCGCCCTGTGACGGGCAGCTACCGTGTGGCTGAACAGAGCCCCAGTGTGTCTGGCTCTGTTTGGGGGCTGAATGTTACTACTGCAGGCCTTGTTTGGGTTTGATTCCCTCTCCTTCACCTCTGCCTCTTGCCTTCCCTGAAAGGTGCGATGCCTTCAGATGCTGAATTGCCAGACCCGCTTGCAAAAAAAGGCTGCGTTGTGGCTTTTCACAACTGCTGTAGTAGAGGGAGGTGTTTTTCAGCTGGTGAAAAGTTCCTCTTTAACCTTGGTGCTTAAAAAGCTCTTGGCGTTGCTTGTTAGTTGCTTGTCGTGTGTGTTTCTGAAGGACAAAGGAAGTGTGTAAGTGTTCAGGAAATACCTCGGGCATTGCAGTGTGCAGCTGAGCTCACCCTGGTGCCCATGGCAGGGCAGCCTGCTTTCATGGAGAGCCGAAGTTTTGCCTCATTTGGAGCTGACCAGCCCTGGGGTAGAGCTGGGAGAGAGCTCCAGCAGAGCACGTGAAGCTTGTTACAGGTTGATGTGCTTGGGTGCACCTTGAAGTAAACTCATACATACATACATACATACATACATAGACATATATACAAAATTTCAGGTTATGCTTAAGCAGAGAAGTATGTGTACCAAGAGGAGATTAGCAACAAAATACTTCAGTATTCTCACTTTGAAATCGTTGCCTGCCTTCAAACTCTTTCCAATGTCGTACACTGCCAGGTTTGTTTCAGTATGGCCCAGTCCACCTGGATTTTGGTGTTCTGGAGCTTGAGTAACACAATATCAGTAGATCCTACTTGTACAGCAGTAGTTCCTTTGGTTGTGAGGAGTCCTGAGAGCTGTGACTGTGCGGCTGTGCTTGAGGCTGATAGCCTGGACCTTGCTTTTGGAACTGGAAGAATGCTGTGCATGGCAGCCCTTGAATATAAGGGCTTCTCATTCTTCAGCTTCAATTCCTCCTGCTTGAATTTCAGCTATTGAACTGCTGCAGTGCACAAAATGCTCTCTGGACAAATCAGGGCTGAGGGCACAGCAGGGATGTTTTGGTGGAGAAAAAAACAAACAAACAAAAACAAACAAAGAAACCAGCAGAGCTTGACAGAACAGGAGAATGTGATGATAATCAGATTTAGGAGTTTTCAGCAGCTAGGGAGCTAGATCCTGTGCTGGAAAAAGGTCCGCCACAGATACACCAAGCTAATTTCACCACTGACTTTTCTGTACTTTGATGCCCTATGGAGATGTTGATCTGATGTATATTCTCAATCCAGGAACACGGTGATCTCGGTTGCCTTTTTTCTTCTTTTTTCCTCCACGTTCCTTCAGCAAATAACAGCCTGAGAACATCTGAGCTAGAATCGCAGACCTGAGTTGGAAGGAGATCCGTGGGACACACCACGTCAGAACTGAGTCTCAGACCAAAACTCATGTTTGCCTGCTTGGCACTTGTAAGCGGTCTCATGCTTTGCAGAAACTGAAGCTTTAATAAGTAATTCAAACAAAGCATAAGAAGGGTAGAAGAGAGAATCCCTATTTGATTCAATTAGCGCTGGTGTCCAACGCCATTAATTGTGACCAGCCTTCTGATGTTTTTCACAGGAGTTGATACACTTGAGCTTTGTCTGTGCCGGGGCAACTGAGGACAAGTTTGTCCACTGATGTAGAATCCCGCTTTTGTGCTCTGCAGAACCCTTCAAATTTGGTATCTAACAGTAGCCTGGAGTGAGCAGTAGCCTGAATAGTCTGCATTGCAGTCTGCTGAACAAAGGATACGTCTGGGAGAATGATGATTCGATGTACGTGTTTTCCCTGTGTTTGAAGAGGGACTGTTTTAGTGGAAGTAATAATATCCTGCAATTTAATATTATTTCCAGACTCTTTTAAATCGTTTCATAGGCAGCAAATAAAGAACTTTGTTTACTGTTTTAAAGTAGAATGTCTGTTCCTCCTAGGGGAGGTTATTCTTTTATTAAAAAAAGATAGAAAGTAGCTGCTTTGATGGAAATGTAACTCCAGGAGTTGAGATGGTGATGATTACAGAAGCTGTAGTATTCTAATGCAAAATAAGCCCTAGGAGATATGTGCCCTAAATAGTAAATCACTCTGTTTTTTAACAAAGCAAGAATTACTATTATTGTGTTTTTTGCTTATTTTACAAGGTCTTTAGCTGTTTCATCTGCACTTAACTTTTACAAGCTGGGGATAAATTGACGGTTGATGTTGTTTTGCTGTTTAAATAGCTTGGCATTTTTAAAGCATAGCGGAGATGGGAGTGAAGGATGGGATTCATTTGGCACTCCAAAAGCAGGGAGAAAAACTGTGACTGCTGGTATCCAGTGCTCTAACCTGGGTTAGAATCTGATCTTATAACTTAATGTTTCATAATTTTCGTGGAAGGGGCTGAACACCATTATTTCAAGAGGACCTCGTGGGTAATGTGTCGGCTGCAGAAAGAGTCATGAATCCTGACAGGCCCTCATTAAAGAGGACTGGAAAGAAGTTTCCTTCGGATTTCATCTTTCCAGATGCTCCACGGGGAGCAGTGTGGTGGTTGCTGATCCTCTGGGGCTGGGGGACCAACCCCCTCTGGTTTGTCAGCGTGGGATGGGCTGCAGGGTCGTGGCTGTGGGAGAGAAAGGGGATCGCCGTCCTGCTTTTGCTTTGTGGGTTTTCTAAACTGGAATTACGTGCCTTCAGCAGGCAGGGAATTACTGGTAGGATTATTCATTAGGAGTGTTGAATTCCGGTTCTATCTGGTAATTTATGTTTTACTTTGGATAATTAGGCTTAGCTGCCAAACGTTTGGAATCTGAGATGCTGAGATGTGTTTAACAAGAGCGCCCTAGATACTGGCTTAGAAGCTGAGCACTGAAGAAGGTGGTTGAGAGGGGTAGGGTGTCCCAGTTTTTGCAATTTGTGGTGACCTAAAATCCATAATGGAGGAAACTAAAAATGGAGAAAGTCTTTGCATCTTTTCTATGTTAATGCTAGCTTGTGACAACTGCACGTTAGTGATGTGGAACAAGTACTGGTTGTGGAGATCAAAGAGCCGCCTCCTCAAGCTAATTCAGAGAAAAGCAAGTTGGCTGGTGTTCTGTCCTCTTTGCTCACTGCTTTTTTCATTGGATCACGTACTAAGAAGTAAAAGCACAAGGAGATGCGGTCTGCTGAGTTATCTATATTAGGAAATCTATCTTGAACTTCGGAAGCTTTTATTTCCGATGCTTAGGACAGTCTCTTGCTAACACTGCCTTTCTCCTGTAGGAATGCAGATCTGTACCTGAAACTTCACTTTAGAAGCAGCCATGGGATGAAAACTGCCATAGTGTTCATTTAAAGTCAATATGCTCTAGTTTGCAGTTCACTCGTGTTTAAGTGCCCACCTTTAAAGCTTTTCTTTGCCCACAGGCAGTCTGAATACAAAGGGAGACTGGTGATTTTTTTTTCTTTTATAAAGAAAAGTATTGCAGAAGCAGAAGGAGCAAAATATGGAAGGCAGACAGAAATCTCCTCAGATTTATTATCACAAAGCAGAATTTTCTTCTGAGAATCTAGAGGAAAAGGAAAATAGATGAATTCATGGCAACACCTCAGCGTGCAGCTAGGAATGAACAAGATGGATACATCTGTGCACATACATGTGCAGAAGGAGTAGGACTCACATCTTGAATCAGCTGTGGCATTTGATGCCATATAAGCAGCAAGGAGGTTTACCAGGACAAGGTACAACAAAGGAATCTATACATGGTAACTGATGTCTTTGGTCATAGCCAGACTTGGATTGCACAGAGATAACAGAAGTTTTGAGTCGCCACTGTGTAGCAGTGCTGTGTAAGTTCTTCTGTTTGGAGGGAAGCTCTGCAGTGGGTTGGGGAAAGCTGAACTGCAGCTGTAATTTCATAGCTTCAGGATAAAGAGCGGATTTGTGTGTTTGTCCCAGGAGCTCGTTTCCCTCCTGAACCTGTAGGCGGAAGACAGAATCAGGCATCGGAGCTCTACCATGAAGTATTAAGAGCGTGTCCTGAGTTGCTGAACATTGAATGGGGAGATTTTCTGTAGGATTTCAGAAGCCTTGCTCTGGCTGGCTGTTTCCGTTGTCTGAGTTGTTTCTCGATTTCGACAGAAATGGAATCAGTGTCTGCTTATCTCTGTGCTGGTGGTGCAGCACAGCTCCTTTGAAGGTTGTCTGTTCTGCATTTTGACTGAGATGGCTGCCTGAATCTTACTGCCACGTCTCGGTTGTTATTGTGACTTACCTGGAAGTGAAAACAGCTAGCTTACTCGAGTCCAAATTTCAGAATGTAAGAACATTGCTGTAAATAACAGAAACTGATCAAGGGCATCTTGGCTTGTTTCAAAGGGAATTACTGATCGTACAAGGATTAGGTGGCACGTTTTCCCAGTGGAGCTTAATGAGACCTGAGTACATTGCTCCTGCTCAGCAGAGATCAGGATGCTGTGCTTTGTGGCTTACACTGAGTGCAGCGCAGCGGAGGGCGGTCCAGAGTCCACGGCCAGGACAAAGTGCAGCTTTGGGACTTCATGTTTAGAAAATAGAACGTGACAGTTCTCTGGTGGGGAGGCTTTCACAAAACGAGAATATTTAAACACTGATGTAATTAGATTTGGCTCCTGTATGGCAACGGTTTCTTCCCAATCGTTTTGTTTTCTTGTGATGTGAAAAGGTATATGGAGTTTGCCTATGCTGTTTTCTTTAGAATAAACATATTAACTTTGTAAATTAAGGTCCTCTGTCATTCCTTTCCATTATTAAAAGAAAAATGTGTGTATGTAAATGTGTATATATGCATTTGTTCCTTAGAGCTTTTCTGTGTATGCCTGTTTGACAGGACGTGCAAATAGAACCCTGCTTTGGCTCCGAGGCCTGTGTACCATGATAGCTTCAGGGATTGCAATGAAATGAACAGTCTGCCATTCTGTCTCACATAGCTGAGGGTTCATCATGCTGGAGAAAAGGCTTATTTCTCAGTATGTAAGCCAAGTCTTTATTGGCCACATGCTGTGAAACTTCTGAAATATGTTCATGTACCAAAGGAGAGCTTCTCTGATTGCTGTGCTGAGACACAACTGCATAAGAGAAAGGAAATTTCGGATGTTTGTGCTGGTGAGAAGCAGAAGCATTCTCTTTGGGCAGCCTTCTTGCAACAACTGGCCTGTGCTCGTTTCTCTCTGTGCAGTGTTTCTTTGTGCTGTCTGTCCCTTAATGCTTTTCAGTGAGCTTATAGCCATGTAGATCTTCTGCGCTCAGCAAAGGGAAGATGTCAGAAGAGCAACATTCCACGTAATTCAGCAGTTAATTTTCAGCTATCTATTTTAGGTTATCATTGCTTTGGACAGTTTGAGACAGGTGTCAGTTTGATAGTAATTCTTGATGTTTTATAGCCTTCTGTAGTCTGAAACTGAGTGTATTTTATCAAATGGAAATAAACTTCGAGTGTTGTGTAAGATAAACTGCTCTGAAACCCAGTGGTCTCATTCAGTGCATAACAGAAAGAATGTTTTATGTACAAAAATTCCACTCCACCTACACTGGGCACTGGAGAGGAAGCTTAAGACAGGCTTAAATATAAGGCAGCAGTCTGTTAGCCCATAGTGGGTTGCCTATAAATACAAAGTTCATTACAGCACACTCACATGATTTCCATTTACCAAGTTGAGCTCAGCCATAATAGCATAGATGCATGGTTGGCATTTTTTGAGACAGTGGATTCTTCTTTCTCTGAATCTCCATTTGCAAGTTGTTAGGTAAAATGTGTTGTTCGATTGAAAAAGATGAAATCAGTAAGATATGCATGCTGTGATGGTAGAAGGGAAAAATGTTTTTTTTGCTTGCTTCTTTAGGAACAAAGCCCCAGTAACCAGACATCTATAGCAATGATGCAAGAACCTCAGGAAATGGTGGAAGAAACAGTTACTGTGGAGGAAGATCCAGGCACCCCCACTTCCCACGTGTCTATTGTCACTTCTGAGGATGGAACAACAAGGAGAACTGAAACCAAGGTGAGAGGTTAATAACTAACAAGGAAAATGGGAGAATACCGTCTACTCAGGAAGTAAAAGAAAGCAGAACGAGTGGTGGGAATCATGCTGTTGTGATCCTCTGTGATTCTGACTGTGTTCTCTTTGCCAGCAAAGCTGAGCTAAGTTTTTTTTGTCAGTTTTTTGTCTGGTTTGCTCTCAGTCAGCAGTGCTGATACAGCTGCTCATGGAGCTGTGAGCTGAGCAGTAGAAATTACCTAGGTTAACCAAACAAAAACACCAGCACCCATTCCTTGACTGAGAATTATTTCAGAGTTCGCTTTATTTTACCGACACAGATCACAGCATTGCCCTGCAAACACATGTGGAAGTATGAGACTTAGATGAGATGGAAGGGCATGGAGTAAATGATTTTTACAGCTGGGGAAAATGTGCTTGGAAATGTGTCTTCAAATTAATTACAATTTGTAATAATAGTATGCAATTATACTTTTTCCTCTAGAACCATAAATATCACATTTAAATAAAACAGCAGTATTTACCTTCTGCAACATTATTGTGAATGGAATTTTACTCCTGATGCATTGGGAAAGCTAGGTATATTATCAAGTGACCTGTGCCTCAGGTTCAGAGATGCTGTGTATCTTCTTTTCCTCATGCTGCCTTTTTTAGCCTTCACGTAAGATGAATTTTCAGTCTCTGCTGAGCAGATGCTGCACACTCGCTACTGCCTTGCATGCTTCTGGTATTTCTGCAGCAGTAATACAGCTTGACATTTGGGCCTTGGAAGTTGAGCTGACATGTTCATTAGGTTTTGGTCTTCTGAAAGATCAAGGGTGACTGCTTATTGAAAAACTTCTGAACAACAGTGGTTTTAAAAAAAGACTTTCCAGCTGCTTTTTATGTTAGGAGGTGAACAGAAGTTGTTGCATAAATCAGTGTTTATTTTTCTGGCATTCCAGAATTGTGGCTGTCCTATCTGTTGAGGACGTTGGAGTCTCAGGTTAGAGGGATTGAGCATTGGTGCTCTGAGATCAGTGGGTTCTGCATACACTGAGCATCCATTTAAAAAGTTGTTAGTTAAATGTTGTAACTGTCCTGTTTTCCTTCTGTCGGAAGGAAATGATGGTCTTAAAAAACAAACAGCAAAAAATAACACATTGTGATTAGTCCTTCCAATAATCTGACATTTTTCAGATGTAATTCATTTGAAAGAAAGTCTGCTTTCTTTCTAGTGGCAACAACAGCTGTTCTTTGCAGGAAGGAAGAGGTAAAATTACAGTGGTAATGGACACCTTTTCATATGGACTAATAGTAGTGCATATTTTTAGGAGGCTGTTAGTGCTGCTATGCCAAGGAATAAAATAGCTACGGCCATAAAAATAGAGTGGAGGCCATGCAGTGTTCCCTAGATAACAGAACCACATGAAATAGTTTGAAATAGTTATGCTAATGATAAATTTGTGTCTTTGTCATAACAGAAAAAGTTTAATTTTCTCCTGTGCAGAATACCTGCTGTTTTTCCATCTTCCCAGAGAAAAGTTGAATGGTGGCTCCAAAACAAGCTATTCTGTCTGCATATGGGAAAAAATGCAAAAATGACATCCCTACAAATGCCTTTCCATTTCAAAGAGCTGCATTCTCCTCTCTTAACTGTACTTCATTCCCGATACTGTAGTGTGTTCAGAGCAGGGAGAGGGTGCACAGTAGTCTTCCTCTGGTTTTATGTTGTTTCAGATAATTCTGCTGACCTCTACTTACATAAGAAGGCTGCTCTAAAAGTAATGCCTGCTATTTATGTGGGCCCACGTTGTCAGAGGCACTCACCAGCACTTACTGAACTTTGATGGAGACCAAGCAGCAGCTGTGAGCACAGTGAGTGGTGGGTGGTGCATTTCAGCAGCAGTGACGCTCGGTTGTCTCCACTGGTGCAGATTTTTAGGAGCGTGGCATGCAGCTCTTGTTCATTGCACAGCTGATGGTGGTGGTAGTGCTGACAAGTAGTGTTCTGGAGCTGAGAATTTGCTCTGTCAAACAGTGTTATTGTACTCCTTGCATCTGTTGTAGTTTTCATGGAAATGAACAGGAGGCATTACTTTCAGAGCAACCTGCATTCTATCTGGAGCTGCTACCTAGTTTTTTGTTGCTAAAAAGACCAACTCTTTATATATAAATACAGATTTATATATGTACATATCCAGCTGTTGAGAAAGTGCCACTGAAATGTGAAAACACAGATGGGGTTGGCCTAGCCCTAACTGCTGAAAGAGACCCTGAGTCTGCTGAAGTTGTTGCTGTCTCTGAATGGTTTTGTTTTGACTTCTCCTTGCTCTGATAATATGGCACAGGTTTAACAGCTCTTAGATATGGAAACAAGATCAGATTTTCTTTGTATTTTTATTTAATCACGTTATTTTCAACTTGTGTTGATAGTGAAAGTGAAAATGCAAACCGATGTTGTTGGAAGTCCGTAGCATCGGTTAAGTGTCCTGCAGTTAATTGGCATTGACTTACTATCTCTTTTAGTAGGTATCATCGTGGTGGCTTTGTAGGTCATGCTATTATGTGTTAGTGCCTTGCAGGGAGAATGAAACTTCTTCGCACCTTCTGTGTGGTGACAAAATTCTGACCTTGCTGTTCAGGTGAGGACAGTGAAGGAGGGTTTCTGTGTGATGTGAGATGCAAACCCATCCCCTGGGCAGGCAGTGTGCTGCAGGAGCAGCGTTCCTGCTCTGAGGGGTACATGTGGGGAAGGGGCTGAGGTGCTCAGCCTGGTCAGTGCTGTGCTCTCCTGCACACAGGGTAACTGAGCAGTTTCCATCTCCCAGAGGCTCTGCTTCCTATCTGAGCCTGCACAGCAGTCAGGGCATTTCCACTCTGTCTGGGTTGGGACCTGCCCAGTTTGATGACCTCGAAGTTTGGCTGTCAGGTAAGTTGCCACTGTATTATGACAGTAAAATTACATCCTCAAGACAGAAATTTTATCCTTCCTGGTTTGGTATCTGCCCAGTAGAACAGGCCAATGCAGTTACACATTGCCTTTTAAGACTTGCATAAGGATTGTTCATTTATGTTGCTGTTTGCATAATGGAATTCAGTAAGGAGTGGGACAAGCTGTGGCCTTGATTGTGGTGTCTGCTTTTTATCACTGTGAAGGAATGGCATTTCCTATGAGGGGAATCCTCACGTCTGCTTTCAGCAATAATCTTATCTGTTACTTCATGAGGGTGTTAGTTAATTTGAGATTACTTAGGTTTGTGCTTACACGTTAGGCTTAGTAGAAGTTTTATGCTTTGCTGTTGCACTTAATCTCAGCTTCTTTGGAGAAAGGCTCAGAACCTGTCTTTGTTGTCTCTGTACTTAGAAGGTTCTCCTGGCCATGGGCAGTTGCATTTTCCAGCCTTGTTGTACAAAGCAGGTGGTGCCACACATTGCTTCCCATGACAAAGTTACATAGGCTGTGTTTTTAAGAACTGAAGAGACCAGAGGGATCTTCCAGTGTGTGCTTTCCTTGCTGCATACCCCCTGTGGAGGTGAGACAGCTCCATGTGATTTGGCATGTGTTTTTGGACTGTAAAAGAAAACTTGTTTATTTTTGCTACGCTGTACGAAATAATGCCTATAAATGATTCCCCTTGAACCGCAGCACAGCCAAAGCTATAAATGCTTATGATCCTTTGTGCTGCTGTTCCTCGTTTTCTTGTACAAGTCCCCCCTGTTGTTTGAAAACCATAGTTTACGGAGGTCCTTTCTCCAATAATACATGAAGTAAACCACTTCAGTGCAGAAGCATCGACAGTTTGTGCTTTCCCCCCATGTCTCTGAAGATGCCTGCTGCAGGGAAGCAGGAAGAAGCGTAATAGAATTTAATATTTGACATATTTTAAATAGAGAACATCTGCCTTCTCAAAAATGAGATATCTGAGTAATTTTCCCCCAACTGTTATTACCTTAGTACTGTGCTGGCTAAGTCCCTACATAACATTTGCTGCACAAAAGATGTATCACATAATGCTTCATTTCAGCTTCATAATCTCTCTGGAAGCCAAATACCTATCATACTCCAACAGTGAAAGTCACCTTGGGGAGAGGGCTGCTAGGAGGCTGCTGTGTCAGAGAGGCTGGTTTGAAAGCAGCTGAAGAGAAATGAAGTAAAACAAACAGGATTTGTGTGCTCCTGTTAATGCTTGCTTTATTCTTTCTTTAGGCACCTTTCATATTTATCTTTGTTGAAATGCAAGAAGATTTGAGAGCTCTGGGTCACTTTTATTCATTGAAAAAGATGTTTTATGGTGACAAACTGTAAAATCAATCAGTATACAGAGTTGTTTCATTTCCAGGCCATCCATTTGCCTTGTCTTCTTCATACTGAAGAAGGCCAGGTCTTTCCCAGCAGCGATTATTGCTGCTCTCCTTTCCTAGCAGCAGTAACTGGAAGATGCTCGTGACTTGAACTCTTCTGCTGTGTTGGTGCCAGCTACTCTGAGATGCAGTTCTTTGTAACTTTGCAGAAAATTCAAGAGGAATTAGGTAATAGAGCTGGAATGGATTTCTGCCACAGTTGAGGGTCCTTTGAGAAAGTCAAACACTAAGCTTAAAATTGCAGAGGAAAAACTTGAGCTGTTGTTTTGAAAACCTATGGGGCGAGTTCTTACGCAGCATTTAGTAGAAAGGTAATACCTTCAGACTGCTCGGGCTGATGAATTTTTACAGTCCATAGTTGAAAAATGAGCTCTCGGAAACGTCAGAACACCTTTATCCTTGCACATTCTTTCTCATCTGTTTCTGTTTTATGGCAGTTTCAACAAAATTTTTAGCCGTGTCAGCTTTTATAAAGTACTTAATTCATCAGAGAAAGGGAGAAGTGGGGGGAGTTGGGGGAGGTACAAAAGTGAAAAACAAAAGCCCTCCCTAACGAGGTAGAAAGTGGGAGCTATAAGTACTTGCTGAGATGACAGCAGTGGATGGTGACAGCACTCTTCCACTGAGATCTCAGCGCTGTCTTTCCCCCCTCTGAGCAGTGTGACGTGGAGGAATCTACGTGTACCACCTGTATGTGCAACCAGTGAGTCCAGTGGGTTTCTTCAGGCCTGCTTTCCTCTCGCTTTAAGACAAATAAAAGGACGAGGAGCAGAAAAATACAGACACTGTTTCAAATGTACGGACATTTCCTTTGTGTCTTATAGACAGATGTCTTCCCAGGAACATAACTAATGACATATAGAATAGCAAATGTGTATTTTAAGCATACTCAATCTTTTTGTAGAGAGGCCATCAGAAGCTTTTGACTGGCAGGCTGGGGGACTGTGGCACTGAAGCAGCTGAGCACCCTTTGATTTGTAATCAAGCAAAAAAACTGTTAGGATGGATTTTCTGTAGATAAACGGAGGAAGTCAGATTGCAGTGTCTCGAAGTAACTAGTGTGTCTAAATTGTTCACTACAGCATACCTACAGAGCTGAGTTCATGCTAATAACTGGGTGCATCTGGAGGATCAGGTGGCAGATAAGACCATCTGCTGGGTCTCCCGCTTGGAATTGCTTCGTTTTCTCTGGCTAATGTACTGGTATTAAGGAAACCACAGAAATGTTGGGAGAGAAGATTACTGTGCTGTCAGCTGTCCAAGGCTGCCTCCCCTTTTAAGAAATATAATTGAAACATTCCCTTGAGCTGGATTTCCTGAAATAAAGGTTTATTGTTTTTCTTTTGCTTGGAAGCCTAATAAATGGACCTTCCTCTGTGTGCTGGCTAATTGCTTCCAAAAAGCTTGCCTTTATTGTCCTGTAGGCAGCAACGTCTGTTTATCACATGATAAATCTTCTGTTTCCGTGCTCAACCCTGACAAATGAGGCATAGTGCAAATACTCCCTTGCTCAAAATATGAACAGACTTGATTTGACCCCCCCCTCCCAGAATACCTTTGGCATTATTGGATGCTTTTATGCCATGAGAAATGTGTACTTCTGTGCTAGGGTGAAATGTTCCTTTTTATGTTTCTGACAAAGGTTTCTTGATTGTGCTGATTCCTTCTGCTGTTAATAGTGGGAACGTTCAGTAAATGATGGAGGTGAGGCTGTGCTGACATTGTCAGCTTGTTCTTCTGTGTGCTGGCTGATGCCATGGGAGTCTTTTTGACTAGCACAGCCGCTGGAAACTTGTCTGTGCTCAAATAAACAAAAAAGAGGCAAACTGGGCAAAAACTGCAAACGAATCCTGCTTTCTATGTTCTCTGTACTCTGTAGTAGACAGGAGCATGGTGGAAAAACTGTGTTTAATTAAATGTAAATGAAAGTCACAAATCACGTAGGAATTGATTTTCCAAATGTTCTGATTCTCTACTTATCTTTTTTTGTATATGCATACTATTTGTAGACAGTTGTCCTTGCTCTGACATGACTGTGTTGTGTTACCCCATCCTGTCTGATAACAACAACGATTCTCCAGAAAAATGAGACAGGAGAAAACAAGCAAGTGTCCAAACTGGCAGCAGTGATGGTGGCTGAAGATGTGCCCATAGTGACAGCTTCCTGCAAAGCACCTCTCCAGGGATCTGGAAGGTCAAAGCTTGCTCCTTCTTTTGTGCAGTTGCTGCAAGCATTCATGGTATATTGGGTATCTTGCATTGTCTGGTCTGGAAAATCTTGTGAAAAAATGCACGTGACAAACTGTGCATGCACTGCAGCATATGCCTTGAGAAGGAGAACTTGGAACTCAATTTAGAATGTCTGGCTTCTGTTGAGTAGCGCTGAAAGAAAGGGCTTTGTGTGGTGACAGGAGCACTCTTCTTGGCATTGAGAAAGCTGCTCTTTTGTTCCTTACTGTGCAGAAGTATCAGTTTTCCAACTGCTGAAATGCTATCTTACTTCCTGTTATTCACCTTAACAGTTCACAACCTCAAGAATGCTAAAGCCTGGCCCTTTTTATCCAGTTGTGTCACTCTTTTGCGAAGCTCACGTGTTTCAGGGCTGAAAACATTGCATTTTCTCCTGTTAAAAGATCACTTATGAGCATAGGACTTTGAATAAAACTTTTGTTTCAAACTCACTAGGAGAATGCTGAGCTGTGTCCCACTTGTTTATGTCCACATTACAAAAGGCTACTGTAAGCTGCCCCAAATCTTTTTCATCCCTAAATGTCGTCCAGTTTCATAAATGCCATGGCAGCAGTTGTGCTGGTGCTGAATGGAGAGCTGGAGCATTGTGCTCAGGTAATGAGCAGAAGCCATTGTTGGTTTCTCTGTCAAAAACTGATTACTTTGTAGCTCTTAATTCCTTTTTTTTAAATACTGCAGTGTGCATTTTTAATTAAAAAATGGTGGGGGTGGAAAATAGCATCTTTCTTGAAGCTGACTTACTAAGAAAATCCCTTTGAGAATTTTCAGCTGTGGCCCAAATTAGACACTGAGGTAGTGTTGGTACCTGGCTATGCTTTATTCAGCATTGTGATGGTACTTAATTATGCTGTTGGTGGAGAGCCATTTGTGCTGCTTGCCATCTTGCAGGATTTCATTAACTCATTAGCCTGAAGTATCATTTGCTCACAGATGTCTCTAGGAAAAGAAATACTATTTGGGTGAATTTCTCCTGTTTGGGGTTATCTGTGAAGACGTGAGAGGACGCACCTGGAGCTGCTTCAAGAGATGTACTCCTCTTCTTTTGTTTAGTAGCAGCTTGCCCAATTTGGTGCCAATCCTTATGTTTCAGTGGGAGGCTGCAGGCCACAGTATCTGTATCCAGATGCTCTTGGTGTATGAGTTTCACTCTGCAGTTTCTGTGAAGATGAGTGTTATTTACATATGCCCGTTTCTCTCTAATGCTTGCATTGGAAGCCCAAAATTGCCAGCAGTTTTGTTGTGTGTTCTTCCCAGCATGTAATTCACTTACATGTATTCATTTACTGTTCTGACTCCCTTAAGTCTCATTACATCGTTCATTGAAGAGAAAATTAAGGTATTTGTTTACTACTTCACAGGTCACCAAAATGGTCAAAACAGTCACCACTCGAACAGTGCGCCAGGTCCCGCTTGGACCCGACGGCCTGCCGTCGATGGATGGCTCGTCTCCCATGGGCAGCTACACAGATTCAATAGACAGAAGGTATATGAAGAATGGGGAGCGGTACATCACCCCGCAGGCGTCGTCCACATTGACCAGATCTTACAACAGCTACAATGATTCCTACCCTGACAGCCACGAGGGCCAGTATCGACCTTACATCGGTCATGATGGTTATGGAGACCTAGCAGATAACTATGGCAGCTTGTCACGTGGCGTCAACTACCGTCCTCGCTACGCCTATGTGCCAGGAAACAGCTACCGGCCGGACGACGGGAGCTTCACTTTGCCGAGCAGAAGGGATAACTATGGTCCTGTTGCCCAGCCTCAGGTACCAGTGGGCAGCAGTGTTGACTTGAACCGCTCTCAGCCGGAACGTTTCCAGCCAGAGCCCTATGGGCTGGAGGATGACAACCGCAGCCTTGGGGTAGACGATGAAGGATATGAACTGGATCCGGATTATTCTACTGTGAACCGGAGGACATCTGCAGGTGTGCCAGAGAGAGGAAGACCCCACAAAGGAAGGTAAAAATCTGTTTGTTTCTTAAAGGTTTCCTGCAGCTGTTTTGCTCAGTTGAACATTTGAATTCTGAATGGTCTGGTAAGGGCACGGTTACTTGGCAGAAAAAAAATACAGTGGTTGGATTGCGGTTAATGTAATCATTAGAATGAAATAAACATCTTAAAATCTCATAAATGGGAAAACTGAGGGATGGAAGGAGAGAGGTCTTAGACAAGAGACAAAAAAAAAAACAGTTTGGGGTTGTAGTATACTTGTGATTTTGGCTAGAGAAATAATCAGTATTTCTTCAAAACAACTGTAGGCAAAACCAGCATGTCCTAAACATAGTAGGAAGTTCACCTTCGTGGAGAAGAGGGGACCTGCCCTACTGTGCTGTGATCAAGGCAGAACACATCACTTCATCAGCCTATAAATAACTGCAAAATGCACATGAAATAGAAAAGAGTAATTCTAGTGCTTAAAATCCCTCTTGGTGTGTTTCTGGACCACTTCATTGAGGCTGAATTTAGCAAGAAAAAGATGATTTCATGGAAGTGGGATGGCTTTTTTTCTTCCTCAAGAAGAGGTGTGACTGCACTGAATTTTCCCTGCGCTGTCTCACACTGGCAGGGTGAAAAGGGCTCTTGTAATCTTTGAGACTTCAGGTGGGTCTGGTTATATGTGCACATCTGCCAAACAATTTTGAACAGCTGGTTGGTTGCAGATGAGCTGAAGCTGGTGATGAAGGGATGCTTATTATCAAGAAGCTGCCTGGTGAGGTGCCTGACAGCATCAGCTCCTGCGCCTGTGCTTATCGTACGCCCTCAGCTGTGTGACAAGGTTGTGCTGAACCTCAGTGAAGTACTTCAGCGTTTGTAAGATCAGATTGTTATTTTGTCCTGTCACTGTAAATAAGGGGAGATAAGAGCATCTGTGTTGAACTAAATGTAACTGAAGAGACCAATCACAAATTATTTCTGGTTCAGTCCCCTTCCCAGGAGATGTGCTGTTTTATGCCTTTAGTCGTGCTGTCAGCTCTTGCGTTGGAGGCATGTCTGGGCCTCCTGCACAGGAGGGACGTGGAGGCTGGGAGCAGGTTCAGATGGAGCTCTCCTGCTTGGAGAAGTGACATTGCTTGTGGTTTCATTCATCCTCCTGTAGCTCTATCCCCCTTCATGTTTCTGGAAGTTCATTTCAAAAGGAATCAAGCTCCTGCAAATTTTAATCTATGTTTAAAAAAAATCATAATTAAAAAGAAAATCATAACAAAGAACAGGATGACAAGGCGTATCTGCCAGAACCCTCTTGAGATCCCTTCTGGCATCTTTTCCTGACAGCTTACAACCATTGGGACCATGTCAGAGTTTTGTGGGGCTGAAGTGAATGCCAGCGGCTGCCAGGACACTGTTCTGTTTATCAGGCTGCTGTTTCTGTTTCTCTGCATCTAAGCAAGGTTTGCAGTTCTAGTTAGAGCAGTCAGGCAGCAGTGTTTGTAAAGTTTTATTAACATTCTTCAAACTATATTCATGATAAATAAATGAATGCATTCTTAGAACCTGCCCATTTGCATTTTTAAAATGTATTTTTAAGCATCCCTTTGATTTATTGTTCCTTGCAGCTTGGATAGGACTGATTTACAATTTTTGTTTTACATTCCTTTTGTCGTGAGTTTTTCCATATTTAATATGATCAAGAGAAGTTGACAAGCAATTAGCCTGACTGTGGCAGCAAACCTTAGGTTGTAAGAACGTAAGATTGAGTGAGGGCCTCTTCAGATGTGGCTGCTTTCTGACATTTCAAAGAAACACTTGAGCGATTCAGTAAACCTGTATTTCAGATATGCTACTGATCTGCCAGAAGCTAACGATAACAAGTAGTGCTTTGTGCTAGATGAGGGTAATTACTACCTCATTATTTCTCTCTGGTTTTTGAATGCGGTTATTACTTGAGCGAATGATGAAGTGAACATGGTAAGTTGGTGGCACCTTTGATTTCAAGACGCTGCTGTGTGTGGGGCAGGCCTGGTACTGCTGCCAGCGGGCTCTGCCTCACAGCACTGTGCAGCGCGGGCATCTCCATCACTCAGCTGCATCACACAGCGCCCTCGCTGACCTGCGGCACAAACGTTCTTCCTTCCTTCTCGTCCCTCTGTGTCTGTGGTGCTCATCTCACCCCCAGCCTCCGTTTGAGCCACCTGTGTTTTGTTTTTAATTGGGAAGAATCGTCGTCTCCACAGCATCTGCAGACCAGACAAGTGCAGATACTGCATCTGTTTGCTCTTCCATGCACGTGGATGGGTTTCCTTCTTGTTTTCTTTTGCGCTGAGTCTCTGCTGTAACAGGCATTTTATTCTGAAAGAGGACAACAAATTATGGTGCAGAAAAGGCATTTGGGTGTATTATATTGATCTAATAGTACTCAGATTTATTCGTGATGGCTTTTACGTAGTCCCTTTTTTTCTTTACCTCCCTTTTTCTTCGCTGAGCAGGTTGTCTTCATTAAATAATGCTTATTTTTATGATAGTTTCTAAATATATATAGTCTTATGGTGTTGCCAGGCTTTTTGTATATAGCCCTTTTTAAAAGAGAAGCAGGAAATACTGGATATTTTTCATTTCCAAAAGACACCCCAAGTATTATTTGTGTATTTTTGATCATTACTTTGAATTTGACACAAACGAACAGGAGAAAATGGCCAGTCATAACTAATCTTTTTTTTTAAATCATCGTCTCTCAACACCAAGTCTTTTGCTTTTGCAATGATTTGTTTCCATGGCACATCTCTATGGTTTGTGCATGTACTAGCATCCAGGGGATTTATTTTTCCCTGAAAACTCAGGAGCAGCTATTGCTACTGTGTATTCCAGACCAGACAGGATGTGAATTTTTAATTTTAATGGAATTAACAGCAAAAAAGCTTTCTGCTGCTCAATTTTCCATGGCAGGAGCCTGATTTAAGGGACTGATGGTGCATGTTGCTGGTTATTTCATGAGCAGCTGTCACTGGGAAGTGGGCTGGGTTTTAGGTGAAGGTATTGCAGGATTACTTTTTGTTGTGCAGAGACAGCACAGGAGTATTGCTATCACACGTTTGTTATTCACGTTCTACTTCAGTTTGTCTTATGTTTGCAGACTTTCAGTCAGTATTTCTGGCCTAACTCCTCTTGCATGGAGTATGGCCTCACAGCAGCATGTAGGCTGGCATCCTTAAGGCTGGGGAAAGGTCTGTCCCTGGAAATCAGCCTCTTTGGTTTGGCAGCCAGATGTAAACGTCATGCCACAGCGTAGCCGTGGGATGCTGGGGAGTGTTCAGGGCAGAAGTGTACAGATGTGCTGGGCAGAATGGAGCAAGGCCAAAACGCAATCGGTTTGGAAAGCATTGATGGTTGTTTTCTCAGGCTGCTCTGTAGAGTTTACTTGATATGGGTTCGTTGATACGGATGCAGACAGCAGAAGACAGATGTATGGCTGAGTTTTTTGTGGCAGTCTGCAGTCTGGCTCAGCTCATCCATTAGTAGCTGTTAGGTGGTTTGAGGTGAGGCGATTTGAAGTGGTTTAAACACAGGGCGGCTAACTCAGACTTGCCTGAACAGGGAATTCAGTCCAGCTTTTGAATCCCCTTGCACATCCTTCCATTAGGAAGCAGAGGCTGGTAAAAGTAGGACCCCCTTCTGCAAAGTCTTTGCATCTCTTCTCCATTGCACACGGCTCCCTCCTGAAATCCCAAGCTTTTCTGGTCTTGTATCCTAGCAGACACCAGCTGCAAGCTGTGATGAGCGTAGCTGTTGTATAAATTGACGGGGATTAAATGTGGAAATCCTTCACCTGTTTACTCAAACGTGCCTGTGCTGAAGCCACAAGTAAGATGATAAATCCGCAAGCGCTTTCCCGGATTTTATCTGTGCTAGGACACAATTTGATCAATTCCCTGAGACAGGTGATTAGTGAGACTGACAGCATCCCAGAATCTCAGCTGTTGTGCTGCAGGAGATGGAAGGCAAGATGCTCGCGGTCAGCAGCCCTGGCACACAGTGGGCTGCTCCTGGTGGAGATCTCATCACTGCTCCTCCTGTGCCAAGCAGCTTGCCTTTCTGAGAGCGCTCAGCTGGAGTGCAGGGGGAAAAACCTCAGTTGGTCCTCTCAGTCTGGCTCAGATGATTTCTTTCACTGCTTGGTTGTAAATGTGTTTCTGATTTTACTTGTTTGCTTTCAGAAACTCCTGATAATGTTGTTTAACTCCTGATAATACTTGCAGCTTCTTGCCCCTTGCCTGGTGTGCATTTTTCTTGCCTCAGCTCCCCTGTTAAGGAAGAGGAGATGAGGCTTAACGTGGGCCAGAGCATCTCACCAGCACCAGGAGCAGGGATCCCTTAGTGCCAGGTCAGCCCAGGGCTTTGTGTTCCTTCTGCATGCCACTGCTGTGCCAGTTACTTTCTTGGCAGGCAGTCTTCATGTAGTCTTCGAGGCTACTGAGCGACAGTTGATGTTTAGACCTTCTCTTGCAAAATGCTTCAGGATTTTTTTTGTCCTTAATTTCAGTGTGGACTGGGTGGTGATGTTTTATTCTATTTGATTGCTGTATTTAGTCATATGAGTTGTATGGTACTTACTTCCACCAAGCTTTCCTGTATCGCCCTTTAGTTCATGCTGGAACCTTGGAGTTTCTAGATACTCATTCTGTGTTTGAAGGGCCAAGTATCCAGCTGTTCACTTTGCTGCCTCATAAAGCCGTTGGGTTTGCAGCTTCGCTTTCACCAGTGGTTGGTGAGCTCTTAACACAGTTTTCATACGGAGGTATGTGGAACCTGACTGTGCAGGAATGTTTTAGCCATAGTGTTTCCTATGTGCGTCCTTTCTCTAAAAATGCTTGAGAGATGCTGTTTGTCCTGTTTAAATGTAACTGTCTTGGTGAGCTGAAAAGACCTGTGTGCCAGTTCTTACTGGAGACATGGCCCTGCAGAATCAGGCTGAGATGGGCAGGAGAAGAGCTGTGTATGTGAGGAGTGGAACTGGATGAAAACCTTGTTATTGCTGCTACAGGAGTTAGGTGATGCTCTCTCTGGTCCTGGCAGCATATGAAGTCCTAATTGTGAAGTTTTACTTCAGCAAATGTAATGGAACTGGAGAGCTTTGTATGGCACAGGGGAGAACGGCGTAACGGAGTTAGGATCAGCTGCTCAGTTCTGTTTGTAAGGGTTCAAAGGCAGTAATGGAAGAAAACTGCATCCCAAGATGATAATTATCTTTGTGTATTGCGTGGGTTTGTAGGAGAGAGACCGTTAATTACGCAGATGTAATTGAGGTAGCACAAGGTTACTGTTTAGGCAGCTCCAAGGACTGAGAAGTGCAGAACTGCAGGTACCCATCAAGCAGCAGCTGTGCACAGGGCAATTATTAATCTTATACTTTCACACAGTCATGAAGAATTTAATATGAGGCTGAGCATGAGAAGTGTTTGCTTTTGTTATAGTTTTAATGCTGGTTGTCCCAAACTTGCTCATGTATAAACAAAATATAGCTTAGGGGCTTTGTTATTACTTCTGCCCTGTGTACATGCACAAAAGTAAATATTTTCAAGTTGTTACTTTCTTCTTGGAATGACGAAAGCAGCTTTGTTCTGCTCTGTCCAGACATGGTAAATCACTGCAGAGCAGGTAATGAATTATGCATACACAAATAGTTGCATCAATACAAGGACTTCTCCAGATGCATTCTGAGTTCTGGATGCTGGCCCATTTTATCCCATCATTCAGCTCAGTGCTTAGAACAGCAGCTAACATAACTTGAAGTCACTAGAGGTGCTTTTAGCATCAAAAGCATTAATTGTCCAATGCTAAGTTCAGTCTCCGCCTCTAATTGCACTTCTCCTCGGAGTCTGCTTTAATTAGCAGTCCCATTAGGGGAACAGTGAGCTCCGTTTTGTTTGAGTTCTAGTGCTCTATATTTCCTTATGCATGACATCCACAACTTCAGTAACATCAGCCAGTGCTTAAAAGTCTGTACAGATCATTTTGTAGCAGTTCAAACTACGTACTTGCAGTGCTGAAGTAGGAGCTGACATCTGTCCAGGAGGGGCAGAAGGAGGAAGGCCCGAGCTGCTGCTGGTCGGGAGGAAGGCAAATAACTGCTTGCAGCTGGGAGTACGTGTGCTGCACTTATGTTTGAGATGTGTTGGAAAGGATGAGCTGTTCTCAATTCTGTAGGGTTTTTCTAAATAGTAACCTTAATATATTTTTTTTAATTCTTCCCATCTGTTAGCTTTACTGAGCAGCAAAAGAAGACATAAACCTAGCACGTGAGAAGTCAATTTACCTTAATGTGCAATGAGAGCAGTGGGACGGCAGGATGAAAATAAGAATTTTCTGGGTTTGAGGTAAAAAACAACTGAGCAAATGGGAAGTTTGGCGCAGATCCATCGGTCCCTCGGTCTTCCACCTCAGGCAGGGCTGAGCTTTGAGGCCAAGCCTGGGAGCACAGGATGTGGCTGCCTCTCACTGCCAGCACTGGTCATTCTGCTGCCCTCGTTCACACCTAACAATGAGGAACAAGCAAACTTTGCTCAGGACCAGGCAGTCGCTGTAAGTGAGCTGCAGGCTTCTTCTGCTCCATCTCCCGGGTGTCAGCTTAGGTGTCAGCTCACAGTGGGTGCAGCTCACACACACTGTATTTGTGTGAGCACTGAGTCTTAATGGAAGTGCAGGATCTTCTCTTACTTCCTGAGAGCTGTGGTCTCTTTCTGCCCAGCCTGGAACTCTTTCAATCAGTGTTTTGCTTTGTTGCTGCAGTGATGCATTAAGGAAGCTCAGTGTTTCCTACTAAATGTAATCCAGAGCTAACATAATTGCTTTGCTAAGTGACCAAAGTGAAAGCAATCTGTTTGATGTGCAGCTCCTGTCATTGTCTCACTGCTAGCCAAACAGACAACGTGCTGTAGTCCCTTTGCTCCTGAGTGCTCAGCTATGATTAATTTTCAAGTTATTAGAAATAAATCACTTGAAAATGTAAATATGTTGTCCGGGATGATGTTTGTGGTATTAAAGGGTTTTATCACAGCTGAAATCTCCATATTGACTTGGAGGCACAGAATGTTTAAATTATATAAATTTTTCCTTTCTCTCGGGACTGTTGCTTCTTACAGGGGCTACGATGACCCCATTGAGACAGAGATGGTGGAAGAGAGGATCCCATACCTCCATGGCAGCTACGCAGCACCGCTGGCCCAGCCAGAGCGAGGAAGCATGGCCAGCATCGACCGCCTGGGGAAGCGCTCCCCCTCTATTGACAGCATTCGCAAGGACCCCAGGTGGAGGGACCCTGACCTCCCTGAAGTCATTGCCATGCTCAGCCACCCTATCGACCCGGTCAAGTCTAACGCCGCTGCCTACTTGCAGCACTTGTGCTACGAGAATGATAAAATCAAGAAGGACGTGAGGCACCTTAAGGGGATCCCCATCCTGGTGGGCCTGCTCGATCATCCAAAGCCAGAGGTCCATCGCAAAGCCTGCGGGGCCCTCAGGAACATCTCCTATGGCAAGGATAACGAAAACAAGGTGGCTATAAAGAACTGTGACGGGATCCCTGCTTTGATCAGACTCTTGCGAAAAACAAATGACATGGAAGTCAGAGAGCTAATTACAGGTCAGTGTCTGTAGTTTCTTTAATAAATTACTCTTTAGAGGAGTCTTTCCAGTTTCAAGAACAAGGATTTCTGGAGAGGAGGAGGTTGCATTTAGATCACTGGCTGCAGCTGTTTGTTTAGCTGTACTATGTCTGAGGCTTATGCCTCCTTTAGGTGGAATGCACAATCATCTGTAGATGTAGCACGCTGGTTTTCCTGAGTACTGAGGGTGCTGCTTGGACGTAGCTTGTGGTTGGGCATCTGAAGCTTCAAATGATGCTGTGAGCTATTGCTATAAGCTATAGCAATACCTTTGACAGATAATTTGTACTGCCCTTGCCCTCAATATGTTATAATCATGAGGTAAGATATGCTAATCTAAAACTTTCCAAGTTAATCTCTACTAGACAATCCTGCTGCCATGTCCTATCTACTCTGTACTGATAGGTTGGTCTCCTCAGCAGCATGTCCTGCCCTGGTGTTGATCTGAGGCTACGTATAAATCACTGCATGCCTGTGGCTGAGAATGAGGAGATGCACTAGTGGACGTGTGGGTTGTTCATTACAATTGGGAAAGGGAGAATGATATCTTTAGGATACTGAGTTCTTGCATGCTTTCCAGGGATTTTTCAATCACTTAGAACTCCATTATTCAGCCTATTTTATTTGAACTTAGTCTTGGACACAGTCCAAAAGGAGTAATAAAGTATATGCCAAGTTTCAAAGTTCAGCCATTAAGTGGAAGAAGGTGAAAAAGTGTGTCAGCTCTTAAACTATGGAGAAATACATTGTTCTTCATCCTCCCATAACTCATGAGGATTGAGATGGATTTCTCTTTCTTTCTCAGAAGCAGGAGGGAAAACCTGGGGAGCTGCAGTGAATTTCAGTGCCAGAAAAAAATATTTTGCCACAAAAAATGGATCCAGGACTGAAACTGTTTAGCTACCTTATCTGTGTAGGGCTGTCCAAGCAGCCCCTATAGCAAATGTGGATTAAGCCATTTGAAGTAAACATCGTAATTCTATAATCGCCTCAAAAATATGGCAGCTGTCCAGATTTTTACTGGTCATCGTAATTCTCTGAGATGAGCAGTGACTTTGGGTGTTCCAACTGTTCTTCTCCCACCATTTATAACATACTTAGAAAACCAGGTCTAAAGACAATGTGGGTGGGTTTTTTTCCCCAGTCCTTTTCTGTGCAGCTGGTAGAGGAGAGCTCTCAGTAGCGTGCATTGCTTTGATTGCTCTGTGTGCTTTGTCTCTTAATGTGGAAGCTCTGTAGGTAGTATTTACATAACACTTGTTGCGCTCATTTAGTATGATGACTTTATTTAAATTTAAAAAAAAAAAAAAAGAGTTTCTGTTTATCTGCTGTTCTAGTTTACCAAAAACTCATTTCTGGAGTGCTGGGAAGGAATACATTTATTTCTTTAGATTTGAGAAAGGAGAAACCAGTCTGTAATTTACTCTGAAGGAACATCATTATAGTGCTAAGCGGTAATCAGTCACTTTTGAGATGGCAGAAACAAACTGGTTGTTTTTCCTTTTTATTCTAAATGGCGACTGCCTCCATTTCCAGTTGATTTATTAGATTTGCAATTCAAATAAATTTTATTTGACAGCACCTCCTGCTAATTAAATATAGTATTTTTGTTCCACTCCTTTTTTGCTATTTAAAGCTCTTTATTTCCCTTCCCTGAGAAGCACCAGGAATATTGAAGGCCTTAACCTAAGCAGATGTCCAGCAACAGATGATATGCATTTAATCTCCTCCTAACCAGGAGTGGCTTCAGTCCACTTCTAAAATGACATCACCAGATCCGGTGTGAGACATTCAAGCATCCGTACAGAAGAGAAGAGTATTCCAGCAATGCTTCTGTAACTGATGCTGGAGTGCTTTGCAGCCAGCATTTGAACCCCAGCTGAAGGTGTGGAACCGTCCACCCAGAAATGAGCTCCAAAAGGCAGCATGTCCAAGGTTGGCATGGGCACGCTGACTTCCTGCATTTTACTGTTCCTTTAAACCCAGCTCTGACTGCTTTCCGAAAGCTGAATCGTCATCACCAGCAGGTTATCCCAGATGTGGATGACTGAAATAATCCTGCTTTCCAAAGAGATTTCAGTACTTTGAAGATTTAAATAATTCAGGTGCCCAAATGCAGAGCGCTTCCATGCGGTCTTTTGATTCTCCAGCTGCAGGGCACTGCCTGCCTGCAGGACCGGCGGTGCGTGGCAGGTTACTGCAGGGGTCATGCTCTGCAACTGAGGATGATTTCTGGCTGAATCCTGTGTCACTCTGCTTTGTGAGTCCCGGGCTTCTCTGCAGTTCCAGGGCCTCTCATTAATGTGGTGATCTGATGCAGTGGCCGCAGCTGTGCAGAGCATTGTGAGTGGTGCAGCCAGCTGGGGCTGCTCACCGGCTAACGGGCAGAGAGCCAGAGCAGTGCACTGGAGAGGCAGAGGCAGTTGCAGGGCAGCACGAGGAGGGAATCGGGTGTGTGTTCATGCTGAGTGCATGAGACTTGGTGTGTCAGAAGTGCGTTTGCTTGACTGTTGCCTAGAATATGCTTTTTGGAGAGCCTAAGTTAAATATATCGATGTGCGAGTTCGGAAGCAGATTGAGTACACTGCTATGGCACTACTGTCAGATTGAGCAAGTTTGTAGCATTTTTCTCTTTCAGATAATACACTTTTAAGTGGAGTTGAAACCTCTAGGTTAATGTCACAGCTGTCTTACCAACTGTTCCTGATTTATCTGCAAATGGCATTGAAACATGATGTCCATCCAGGTCACACAAATACGTGGAGCGTTTAAAAGTACTCACAAAACTCAAGATGCAATCATAAAATAGCATAGATCTCACTTTTCTTACTTGGCTCCATCTACTGCACTGAGGAAAGCTTGTTTTCATATCCATAAGTAAGTCACGAGTCGTGTCGTGGTGAGAAATGTTCTGCAGAACCATCCCTTGCCATCCCTCTCTTGTCTTGGCACTGTGCTGCTGAATTCTCAGTGGATCGTTTTCATGATAACTGAAGGGGAAATGAGGATTAAGCTGATAAGGAAAGAAATCTGTTCTGATTGGGAAAGCTGTAAGCATTTTTTTATCTTGAGTGATAAGGGTTTTTTTCCACAGAGCAAATGTTCCTATCAGATATGCAAGACCAAAATTCTATTACGTTCTTAGAAAAGTGATCAGAGGTTGGTAGCATTTTGCTACCAAATTTTGCTCTTTGTGAGAAAGTTGAAAGTAATTCTGTTGTTTAATGGCATTGAGCAGATTCTAAATGGCGCAGAACATGAATTTTCTGATGCTGTGTATTGCTGGACTGGTTTTAATTGACAAACGGTTGACCTTCGAAATGCTGTGTGAAGGGTATATGTTGATCTAGTACTGTAATAGAATCTTTCAGGTGGATCAGCTCACACAGTGTTCACACCTGCTGGCCATCCTCACATGTTAAGATCCCGTTAGCTGATATGGCACTAATTTCTCTTTGAAGTACTGTGCTGTCCTGAACGTGAAGATCCCATTTTCTGTTAGAAGGCTGTCAGAAGAACGACCCACTTCATTCGGTACAGACCATAAGAAAGTGGTTTTACTCTTCATTTGAACTAATTTCGTGGTGACGGTGGATTTTTTGTAAATAAGCAAGCACAGCAGTCTAAGATTTGCCGTGGATTTTGGAAGGCAGTAGCATCGTTGGTACTCCAGCACGACTTGTTTAGAAACCTTTGCGCAGTTAGCTCCAAGGAGGCAGAGATCTAGGAAATTGCCTATGGCCCTAATCACGTCTAATATGGCATACGTTGTGTAGCTATGTTTTTAGCTTATAGAACTTCTGAGATATTTTTATGACAATCAGTGTTTTCGCAATAAAGACGTGTAGCTGTTGTCCCTGCCTAACATGCTGCAAAAGTGGAGGTAATGACTGCAGTTAGAAATATGTAAGTACTCTGCAAATAGTGCTTAAGAACATAATGAAGAGTCGATCATGATTGTGATTGTCTTCTGAAATGCAGTAGTTCATTATTGAGCCCTAAAATTCTTCCAGTCTCTGGTCCAAAAAAAAGCAGATCCTTGTGAAAGCATGTGGAAAATACAGATAACTTCCCTTCCTTTACGCTGCTGCGTTGACTTCATTTCTCTCGAGCACTATTTGGTTGAATTGATTAAAAAAGTTTTAAAAGCAGTGTTTCTAGCTTGTTAGCTCATTGCTATGTTATGCCAACAGAGGCAGGGAAGGATTCTCACAAGGTGCATGTCAAATTTACAGTTGTTTCTTTTCATTCTGATTTTCTCACTGTTAAAATCTGCAGCCTGATAAGATTTGCTGTTTAAGTTTTCGTGGCTGTCCCTGTCTGTGTCTTCACTATGTGATTTGTTCCCTGAAAGGATGCTGGGATTTACATCTCTTATTTCATAACTGTGAATCACAAAAGCTGTACCCCTTCTGTGGGATGTTTTCCCCATAGTCAGCCTCAAATCTGCCCTTTTTCCCTGGCTCTGGAGCCTCAGGGCTCCCTCGTCATTCTTGTTTATCTTGAGCTATCTTTCTGTCACGTGCTGTACATTTTCCTTCGCTAAATGCTGTTCAACAGGCAAATTCCTTTGGTTTTCCCCCCATGCAACCACAAAAATGTGTTTTGACATTTCTGACTAATTTGAAGAGGTTTCTGCAATGTATTTTTCATAAGACCGTGTTTTGTCATTCTTCTTAGTTTGTTGGTATTTTCTGTGAAACATTTGAGAGGTGAGTAAAAGGCACACGTGCCAGCCGAGGTTTGTTTCCTCAGAGGAAAGGCTTTCTGCACAGCTTCAGCTCCAGTAGGCGTTTGAGGACAAGGAGATTGACGGTCAAAAAAAGGAGATTGACGTCTGCTTCTGACAGTTTTATTGCACAAATTGTATTCAAACTTTTAGTAAGAATTCCGGGTGAGTGTAGGAGATGCTTTCATAGGCTTGTGGGGCTCTGTTGGCCTGGATGGTGTCAGTAACATTAGTGGGATTCACCTGTGTTGGTTGTAGGTTGGCACAGTTGTGATGTGTCATTTCTACAGTGCAGTGAGAATACTGCTGGAACCCAGCTGGATTTAATCTCTTGGACTAACTACTGGAGAATGAGGATGTAGAAGTGGGGGAATATGGAAATGACAACTTTATTGTATAGATTTGGGTTGGGGTTACCGAAATTTAAACACAAATCTGTAAGTGTGAAAATGAGCCAAAGATTTTTTGAGCACTGAAAAACTTCTGAATAGTCTCTGTTATTAGAGCTTGTGGAAGTTTTGTAGGTATTTTTGTCTTTTTAAGTCTGCCTGGTGGTTCTTAAGCACTGAAATTTGCCTTTGTAGTCTCATGATACAGACAACAAATTTTTGTCACTTCTTCAAGAAAGAGGGAAGGGCAGAATCTCATTTCAGATGCAAGAGAAATTTGTGTGTTTAAGGTTGGAGCTCTTAAATACAAAGGGCTGTCAGTTTTTAAAACTTCACCTTTTCAAAAGAGAAGAAACGTGGTGTCCCTGAACACTGTGCTGGTTCCTCAATTGTTGCCATCTTCTTCTGCTGCTGTTTTTTGAGCACTGCAAATACCAAATGCTTCACCCACAACCCAGTGGAGGAGCCCTACTTTATCCTGTTTAGCTTTCTGGGACGTATCCATCTCGTCCAGTGCTGGGTGTTCTCATTTTGTGTTTGACTTTCAGAAGTTCTGAGCCAGCAATGCATTTAAGGGCCTATTGGTGTATCTGTGAAAAATGAAGTAAAAAATAAGTAGTTCAAAAAAGCAGTGTTTTGTATCATCTTCTAAAAAGATGCAAAGATGAACACACTGTGTTCATCCTGTTCTCTCATCCCCTCGGTCTGAACGGATGCCTGGATTTTGTAAAGAGCACTTTGAAATGGAGACAGCACAGTGTGAGACTTCAGAGACTCTGCTAATCGCCGGCCCCTGAGCTTATCACAGAAGTGCCACTTGCTACTCGGATGGAGATAAAATTCCTTTTCCACACGGTGCTTGTCATGACCCTATACGGATAATGCTCTGGTCTGAGAGAAGGACGTTTGGTGTTGGACACGTCTTGCCGTGGCTGTGAAGGATTGCTCCCACGGGTGGCAGCTCCTCCTGCCTGTGCTGGCGCTATCTACAGCTCATACAGTAAGGTGCTCAAATTCACTTAGAAAAGGCATCCCATCACCTCTGGGGAATGCTTTTCCATTCAGTTTATTGGAATTTTTGCTGGTCTTCACAGTGCTTGGAGGTCAACGGTGAGACCTGGCTGCCTCCAAGTGTTGCTACTGCTTGTTGCTCAGCACCGCCGGGCTGCACTGTGCTGAGAGTTCTCTCTAAAGCAGATCTTTTCCAGTCCTTCATAAGCCTGAACTGTCTGCACAGCAATGCAGGTCTGCTGGAAATTTGCATCCTGTATCTAAAATGGGATGTTTTTACAGGTGTAAGGCTGTTGTGTCATTTTCATGCTTGACATCTTTCTACTTGAGCTCCTAAGTGAGGCAGGAATGGGAAGGCAGCAGGGCAGTTCTGAGTAGCTGCTTCTTCAGGGAATTTTATGCCTATGGCACGTGGTGATTGGAATGCAGATATTGCCTCTGACAGCAAGATGTGGAAGTAAATAATAGAGAGGAGTCTTGAGTGAAATACTGTCTTGTGCAGAGAATAAGTGTAAGATCAATGACCCTCCATAAATTCAGCCATGTTTTTAAGACTTGCTTTTAAGACCTGTCTGCTTCACTGGATCAATTTTTGCATTTTGAGGTATAGCCAGACTTAACAATATCAAAATTTGCGTATATCAGGAGTGCCCCATCAATCTCCAGTAGCACATTGTGTTTATGTACTCTGTCGTGAGACTTAATAAATTGAACAATATCTGTATCTTGGTAAGTGCTTCCACACTGCGGAAATTCTTCCATTGCAGCAACTGTGGAGTGTTCACTGGGCTGTGTGCTTCCTCTGACCTCCCATCGAGTGGTTTTACTGAATGTCTTACTAGTTTTATCATATAGCTTTCTAGTGATTCTCTGTAAACTTAATGGTTCTATGTAATCTAGAAATTAAAAGTCATTATTATTGCCTTGTTATTTGTTTAAAAATCACTTTTCCTCCTGAAGGCACTCTATGGAATTTGTCTTCCTATGAGCCCCTGAAGATGGTCATCATCAACCATGGCCTGCAGACGCTCACCAACGAGGTGATTATACCCCATTCTGGCTGGGAGAGTGAGCCCAACGAGGACTCGAAGCCTCGCGATGCTGAGTGGACAACTGTCTTCAAGAACACTTCTGGTTGCTTACGGTAAGGTAGAGCTCTGATGTATTCATCTGTTGTTCACCATATCCTGCACATAGGATCTTTTTTATATTAGTTTTATTTGGAATAAAATACCATACATGTTCAGTTTTTGCAAAGAAATCTCCTTTTGGTAGCCACAATAACAGAGCTGGAGGTACTTTGTCACATGGACCTTACCAGTGGAAGTCTGCCCAGTGATGTCTGTGTTAAGAGCAGGTGATTGAGCCACATTTGAGAGGCTCTCTGTAGTGAGGTGTTTAATGCAATGGGGAGTGACCAAGGCACAAGGTCAACCACCAAGCTGAGTGCAGCATAAGTATGTTCTAGTGCAACCTGTACCATAAGTACTGAGAATCATACATTCATTTACCTATTGTAGGAATGTCTGGTATTTGTACACATTTTGAGCGTGTTCTTTGTTTCCCCTGATGGTGTTATTTATTTTAAGTGTGCTTTCAGACAGCTCCCTTTCTCTTCTTGTACTACTGAACATTTCTAATACTTCAGATATTTCCTGGAAAGGACTTTTTCTGGTTAGAAATGGTATTTGAATTTCTGAGGGCACCTTATGCCTTTTAGAGTACATGCTGGTTGTTGGGGTCTGGAGGAGTCCTAACGCAGTTGGAAAAGCCTGGGGAGTCAATGTTCCCTAAATACTGACTCTTGCACTTTGCTTTTCTCAGAGATAAAATAGTGGAGATGTCCTGTTGCATTTTTTCAGCTTCATGCTGAAGTGAGGTAGTTTGAATGAAGCTAATAAAGATTTTTCATTGTTCCTTCTGTTGCTCTGAAGTATTCTTCTGTTAAATTTCTACTGATTAATGCATCTTCAGAACTTGGTTCATTTCTGTTTCTTGGGTTTGTGTTCTCCAAATTGCAGTAACTGTTCCCCTGAGCAACTTCACAAATGAAGAAAGTAATGAATGTGTTCTGCAAGGGCCCATTACTGAAATTATTTGCCATCCTGCTAGAGGCTGTGGTCCTTTAGGTAGATTCCAGACAAGACAAGGCCTTTCCTTACCAGTGCCTCATTTTCTGATGGTGTTGCACAAGAGCAAATTAGTGGTGATGGGGAATAAAAGGATTATTTGAGTGAATATAAGATTCTCCAAGAAGTGTAGACAGTAGATTGATCGTTAATAAACTAACCTGATGCACATCGTAAATCTGTGTTAGTATGTGCAGTGTTCTGATCCACTTGAAAGTCTAAATTCCACAAGAACTTTTTTCAAGTAAGGTGCATGTTTTACAGAACACAGAAGCAGCATACACCACTTTAGCTGTTTCCTTTTCCTGAGGCTAATGGAGAGGGACGCAAAGCACAGCATTACTGAGACAAGTTAGTTAGAGAATTCCTCTCCTGATACTTTGAGTGGTCCTGTTTTTAAAAAGTCTGTTCAAATATGTGAAGATGGTCAGAAATTGGTGACTACTTCTGTTGTTGAGGGGCAGGATGTGCTGCATCTGTAGTTTCTGCTGTAGCCATGTGTGATTAAGCACTTCCTGGTGGAAGGTTTGAAGCTTTGCTCAGATGTGAGGCAGGGTGGTTTTCATACCTGAAAGTAACTGCTCGGTTTAAGTGGGGACTTGATGGCAGGTTAGTGGGGAAAGGTAATCTGTAAAGGGTGGTTTATTTGCTATGCTGCAGGGAGACCAGCCCCTTACCTGGTTGGGAGAATTGTTTTCTTATTTCCTCACTGTAAGAGAAAGTAAGATTAAATGAGTCTGGGACAGCAGGCAAAGATGCAGAAGAAGGAGAGAGATGAGCTGCCTTTCACTTGACGTATTTCTTATTGCGTTATAGGTGGTATTACATAGCTTTTGCAGAGCCACTTCCAAGATAATTTTGCACTCCTTTCTCCAGCTGTGTCCAAGACATGGAGGTGCTTTAGGAGGAGGAAACAAGTCGAATTGCTGTCGAATTGTGGTGGAGCTCAGCAGTGTGTTCACTGCCATCCCACCCTGCCAGAGCTCTGTGCTGTGCTGCAGGGCAGCTGTGCAGGCCGGTGGGCTGGGAGCAGAGCTGCAGTCACCTAACCTGTTCTGTTTTCTGTGTACGTGTCCACTGTGATTCTTAGTTTTCTGGAAGCAGTGAAGATTTTACTGGTTGAAAAGTTAGATTCATTTTGGGCTTAATTGCTTCTTCTGCCTAATTAATTTTCTTAGATGTTTTTTCAATTGTAGGAGGATGGAGTAGAACTTAATTCCTATATTGCCAGCTTTCTAGCCTGTTTCTTGCTCCAAACTGACCTGCTGTCAACAAATACTAAATGAATTAATTTGCATAGTAAACAGATGCAAAATATTCTTTTTTTCCAGGCTACCATCTGTGGTTGCAGCATTTCTTGTCAGTTCTCCAAGAACGCAGAAATTCACATTCACAAGTAGCCTTGAGGCTCTGAGACCTGGCTGTGCGTGTGCAAACAGACTGCACCCACCTGACTGCCACTCAGACGTGCATTCTTCAGGTTGAAGCTGCACATAGCAGCTTGCTCAACACCAGCTGCTGGGAAGAGGGGGGTGACCTGGTGTTTAGGGGAGCAACGGAGACTTGAGAAACATGGAGTTAATTGCTGTTCTGACATAACTTCAGCAAGATTAGAAACATTTTTGTGGTCTGCTTAGTATCACTGCTTCTTTCTGATTTGGGTGACATTCAGACTCCAAAGCACCTGATGAGTGGATCAGTCATCTTCACTTTTCTTCCCTTCACTTGAGATTTGCACTTCAGCCCGTGAGGCTGGTAAATAGCAGTAGTTGGAATCTTGTCAGGTGGTTGGTCCTAGGGATTGTAACGGAATGAAAACCTCCAGTAGGCATAAATGAAAATGCTGTTCTGTGAAAACAAAAGCTGAGAATTGTGGCAAGTGTGAAACAGTGTTTGCTGACATGAAATAAGGAATCAGTAGATTGGGAGCCAAAAATAAAAATCATCTCTCCAGTGTGGGAAATGATGTGTGAGTGTGTGGTTTCTCGTTACATTAATTTTACTTCAGGGGAAATAGGGCCACAGGTGCTTGATGGCAAATCATTAATATATTGAATGTAGTGTTCTGTATGAGCTTTGAGGAATAAAGCTTTGAGGCTTTTCTGAAGAGGATGGAATGTTTGATGTATGTGTGTGTGCATCTTGTATATATATATATATATATGTATAAATATTTTATTTTATTTTATTTTTTTAAATTCTCAGGAATTGTGAACAGAAACTGGGTTTGGATTTCTGTGCTTCCATGTTGTTTGATGTTTACTAATAGATGCCCAAGAGGTGAAGAATGCATTTGGTGCAAGCTGCTTTGTAATTGTGATCCGTTTAATTCTTTACTCAAACTTGTCTTTGTTGGGTGGGGAACAAGAATCCCCCAACACTGCATTCTGCTCTCCCTGAACTCACCTCCCAGTGCCATCAGTCAGGGCCCAATGTGATCCAGCTGGGTTGTGTCAAGGCAGGTTTTGCTTGGTCCAGAGTTGCCTCCCCAGGCCTCTGCATGGTCCTGGGGCAAAAAGGATATGTCAGTGCCAGATCTTATGGCCTCCTTTCTTAATGGTTAATGGCTTTTCTGTGAGGAGGAGTGCTGGGGAATTACGGCTTTCCAAGTGAACCACCTCCAAGCACTGTCTGTGTAAATCCCGCTGGCGTGATGCAGATGTGGTGGCAGCTGCAGCAGCTGTGCCCTGCGTGCATGCAGCTCTTCTGGGGCTGCCTTGGCCCTCCAGGGTCAGCAGTGGAAGGCAGCCTAGTGCAAATCTCGGCCCGAAGCACAGCCCGGTTCTGAGCAGCAGTGAGCTGGGGGATGCCTTGTGCCGGGCCACTCTTCCCTGGTACCTGGAGGCCTTCTTGGGACCTGGCACAGCCTCCCCACCAGAGGGATGGGACAGATGCTGCCGTGTCTCTGCCTGCCTCCCGTGCCTGTTGTGCTGGTGTCTGTCACACGTGGGTGCTGCCTCTGGACGCCTGCTGGAGCTCACGGGGCTGTTAGTGTTCAGAACACTGTAGGCACTGTAGAACTGGGATTTCAGCAAAAGAATAGTTCCTGAAGAGATTAAAAAAAAAAAAAAAGAACAAAAATTTGTCCATGGATCTTCATTTTTCAACACAGAAGAGGAGAAGCTTATCTGCCCAACACAGACTGGAAAAAAACAACTCAAATTCCAAACCCACACCTCTCGGTACAGAGGAGCAAGCGAAGGCGGTTTCTTAATTAGCTTACTGATACTGTGCAGGATCACAGCATATGGCTGTCCTGGGGCTTATATGCTGAGCAGAGCCTTTAATTCGTGCTAGTAAAGAGCTGTTAGGGTTCCTCCTGACAGTTCCTGATGTTTAGCTTGTAATATAAATAAATTATGCATAGATTTTAGCAGCAGAGACATAACCTACTTACATGCAACCTTAATGCTTTACAATAAAATCTGAAGTATAAATTCAGGGTTGTGCACTTGCTTGTTGCCTTCTGTCATTCCTTAGGAATGAGTGTAGGTCCCTTCCCCCTGGGCTGCCAATGGAGGAAACCTACAGGAATGTCTGTTGCTGTGGTGGGATAAAGAGATGGGAACAAAGCTTGCTGCAGTCAGTGCAGAGGCCACAGTTTGCTTTGGAAGGCATGCAAGCTGTGATCCTTCATTAGATACATACTGTCTCATTTTTGTATTTTTGAGAGTCTTTAAACGTTGCAGTAAGCAGTATGATAAAGCAAGAGGAACCATTCTTCCAAGCAGAGTCTGGAATAATTTGAAGCCTAAGTAGCTGCTGAGTATTGTGGAATTCTCCTGTAGTGCATTTCTGTGCGGTTTTGCATTACAGGAGAGCGAGTGAAGGCCCTCCAAGGAGGTCATGCTGGAGGTAAGCAGTCAGCAGCTTTTAACTAAAATGCCATTACATGATAGCTTGGATGTAGAAAGCCACAAATAACAGAAGATAGGCTAACATCTGTATCTTGTTCATCTGTATTGCTGGTGACTGAGCCCTTGCTTATTGCGAGAGCATCTTAGAAACAACTCTG